TAGTTTTATTACGTATTTATTTTCAGCTATCTAATTGAAGTTTATTCTTCATAAAGGAAAGTATACAAATTGTAAATGTAAGTGTACTTGTCAGTTGTATAAATCTCCATTTTTTTTAAAGATTTATTTATTCATACAGAATTGGGGTACATCCCAGAGGTGCAGAGGCAGTGAGAGGCTTCACCAGAGACAGAGTGGGGAGCAGAACAGGCAGATCGATGAAGTACACTGCTGAGGGGAGCAGCGGGCGGGTCAGGAAAGGTCTGCCTCACCATATGGATCACCTCCAGGGCAGCGGGGATTGAACTCATGCTGAAGTGACTTTAGCTTTTTAGTGCAGTGCTTTAACCCACGCCACCAGGGAGGGCCCTAAATCTCCATTTTAAATGTGTATTTGAAGAAATACAACTGATGAAAGGTGAGGTTTCAAGGCTATATCACTTGGGATGAGGGATGATAGGATAGGCTGGTGAGGCATGACAACTCATGCCTCACCTTGACAAAGACTGCTAGACTTACAGGAGCATTGTCCACAACTTCAGTAACTGTGTAGCTTGACTTCTCTCCCAAGCAGATCCCCAGACAAGGACCGAAGGTCAGGTTTATTGGGGAAATGCGAGTGGGGAGTAGGGAAAGGAGACATGGAAAGAAAGCCAGTAGATGGCACCCTGTTAAAAGAGACAGCGGAATCTCACTGAAATTCTGGGAAACTGTAAAACAAAGCATTTTTGTGTCCTGTACATAGAGCCCTAGGAGTGAAGTTGCTTGGTCATGTGGTAGCTCCATTTTTAGTGGTCTGGGGAACCTTCACACAGCTCTCCATAGTGGTTGGAGCAGTTTGCGTTCCCACCAGCAGTATAGGAAGGCTACTTTTCCACCTTATCCTTACCACAAAAACACTAATTCAAAAGGATACCTGCACCCTATGTTTACTGCAGCACTAACAATAGGTAAGACTTGAAATCAATGCAAATGCCCCAAAATAGACGACTGATCAAGAAGATATATTTATACACAACAAAATATTACTCAGCAATCAAAAAAAGATAAACTTTCATTTCATTTGTGGCAACATGAATGGAGTTGCAGAGATTATGCTCAGTGAAATAATACAGAAGGAAAAAGAAAAATATCAGATGGTTTCACTTATAGGAGGAATATAGAGAAACCACACAAGGGGTCAAGGAAAAAAATAACAAGAAAGCAAACTTTTTAAAAAAAGATTTATTTATTTATGCAAACAGAACTGGGGTACAGGCCAGAGGTGTGGGGAAGTAAGAGGATTCACCAGAGAGACAGTATACTGCTGAGGGGAGCAGTGGGCGGGTCAGGAGAGGTCTGTTGTGCCATGTGGGTCACCTCTGGGGCCAGGGATCGGACTCACTGTAGTGGCTGCTGCTGGTTTGCAGTGCTGCGTCCTAACCTGTTGTGCCACCAGGGAGGGCCCAAAAAAGCAAACATTATAAAAAAAATGATATAAAATTATTTAGAGTTGAAAAGAAAAAAAAGCACAGAGATGCAGACTCTGGCAGCTGCATCCACTGCAGCACCCTAAAGTGTGCAGCTCTTACAGCAACAGGAAATACCCGGGACACAAAAGCACCTGCCACAGGTAACTAAGCTTTCCCTCATAAATGTTTGAAACCATGGATAGTAAAAGTGACTCTGACAGATTCCTCCTACACATTTCAATACTCCCTTGAAAGTTCACAATCATTTGTTATGGAAACATGTAGAATTATAAATTGGATTTGGACCTGACAGTCATTATGGACAGTTACTTTCCTTTTAACTCTTTCATAAATCAATGGTGAAAATGTTATGTCTAAATGGTAAAACTGGAAATTGTAATGGATATGTGAATAGTAGTGGTGATTTGAATAAAACTTACACTGATTCTGCACAGGGGGCCTGGGCAGAAAGAATTAAAGCAGACACATAACAAAGCTATTAAGTTTGTCAGTCACAGAAGAATAGGTCACTAAATTCTCTGTTTTTCTCAATTTCATGAAGAGATGGGCTTTGTTTCAAATAGCTTCAGAAGCTCTTTAGTTTTACTGCAGAAGAAATCCCACATTTGTCTCTTCAAGATGCTAAAGTAACTTCACCTTTCTCAATTGCATATACTTTGTGAGAGCATGTGCCTAACTAGAACTGGCTTGGGTTAAATTTATCACTTGTGCTATCTAAATTTAATCCTAGAGCAAGACAAGGTTTAACCAGTTTTCCATTTGAGAGATCAAATACATTGAATTACACTGTTGTATAACTGAAATTGTGGCGTGTACCTTTTTGAAATGGTGGTTTGGGTTCAATGTGGCTATGACCTCATCTGAACTATTCCCTGACACTGTTTTGAAGATTATTAAGAAACACTTGAAAGATTTGATAAAATGTGTTTGCAGGGTGTACCGATAATGTACACATTCATATTCTATGACAACACTATCTCAACATGATTTTAGGTCAGCTTTGGCCAAGTAAAAGGAGTGGGGCAGAGATAGAAAAAAATAGCTTGAAAGGAAAGTGGACAAAGAATATAAGACAATTCAAAAGAGAAAAAGCCAACTAAGCAATAAACATATGAAAAACTAGCCAAATATGAAAATTAAAAGGAATGACATACCTTGTACAACCAAGTTGGGCAAAAGAAAAAAAAAGCTCTTCAAGTGGGACTGCAGTGAAAGAATATTCTCATATATTGCTGATAAAATTGTACATCAGTCTTTTGGAAGAGCAATCTGAAAATATCTTTAAAACATAAGCATATGCATTATATATATACTTCATCATAAAAATTTGAAAAAGTGTGGAAAGGGCACATTTAGTTCATTTTATTTTCTAAAATGGAACTCTTGTCGAGGAGATAAAAATCAGCAGTAAAATAGCATCACAGTATAACAGGGTTTGCAGGAAATGGATTAAAATGCACAGAAAACAAAAATGTATGTGTGTGTGTGTAGTTAGGTCTGTGCACCAAACATGAGCCATGGTTATTTCCGCTGGGTGAGGCTATGTAACAGGGCTGTCCAGCAGGGAAAGGGGAGGTTCCAGGTTCCCTGCCCCACAAGGAAGGGTGAAGATGAGCAGCAGGAGAAGCTGAAGAGGAGCTTGGGGAGAGAAGATGGAAGGGGGAAGGAACAAGGAGACCTGGAGGAGACACATGGAGCAGAGGGATGGGTGAAGACGCTGTGCTTGTTCCTGGGAGTTGGAGGATTTGGAAGGAGGCTCCTGAAACAGATGTGAGAGACCCGTGGGAAGGTTAACAATGGCAGTGTTTTCTTATGATTTTACTCCTTTCCTTCCAGACTTGTCTGGCCCCTTCTGCCCTTTTCTTATGCGTCCCCACTAGAAGGCGCCCTAGACTTGTGGCAGGCTTTCTGACCTCTGGCTCTGCTTTAGGCCAACCCTACTGGGCATCTACCCACGAAGGAATGGGAGACTCTGGTGCTTAATTTGGAGACCATTTTATCTATTCTATCCCTTCTCTTATTGCACACTAATTGTACAAAGTTCCTTTCCATTAAAGGGTTTACACACAGAGTATGTTTTGTTGTAATGTGGCAGATGGCAGAAACTATTTAGAGCCAGCAGGTTTGAGGGCTCACCCCTCACCTCTGCCCCATAAGTTAGAGACAACGTTTTGATTCTTTTTGTGTGTTTTCTGGCATTTCAGAAATATAAGGAAAACAATTAGTTTTATTGAATTGTAGATCAATATAATTACACTGGATTTCATTCCATTGCCAGTCTTTCCCACCTAAATATTATTAAAGAAAGTGGTATAGATTATTTTATAACAAAGTTGTCTCAACAAACTAGTGATATAGGTGGTGGAGACTTCCAGATGTCCCCACGGAAACAATAACGTGTCTACTCTGTGCAGAGAACTAGTTCTGTCCGCGGTCAATGAAGGAGGTGGAATTCAAGACGGGGATGGGGCAGAAAGGGGACCGCCTGGCTGGTGGGGACGCCAGGGGCGGAGAGGGGACCGCTGGGCAGGAGAATCCCTAAAACCCCCGAACGTCTTTGCTGCCCCGGAGGATGCCGGGAACCAGGCTTAGCCGCGGCAGTTGCCGCGCTGGCGCACTGGCGGGGCCGCGCTACGTGGGAGCCTCTCCGCGCTGCGTGGGGCGGCTGTGGCAGGAGGGCGACGGCGAGTGTCAGATCCCGAAAGAGGGGTGAGCGGCGCGCTCTCGGGTCTGGGGAGCGGGACACGTGAGGGCGCGCCCACCGCGTGGGCGCCACTCCGGGCGCAGAGGGTCGGCGCCCCGAGTCGGGCCCAGACAAAGGCAGCCGGCGGGCGGCGGGCGACTGCGCTGGAGGAAGGCTAACCCGCGCAGGTGGTGGGCGAGGACGGAAGCACAGACTGGGGATCGGGCGTTTTCGTGACTGGCCACAGCGCAAGGGTGATTCAAACCCAGATCCCTTTTGACCCCAAATCTCATCTCTTAAGAAAACAGACGGTCTAAAACAAAGAATGGGGGTTTACTCGACCCTTATGCTTCATGATGCCGCACAGAGTATTGGGGTCACTGGGCTGTGTCTATCCAAAGTCTCCACGTCTCTTACCTTTTGTCAATTTTTTTCCTAAAATTGAGGTTTTAGAATTCTAAATCCTTTTGCTGACTCTGTGTTCTGCCTGCATGGACAGGGACCCGAGATTGCAGCTGAGATTAAGACCCTGGACCCTCCGCTGCCTGCTGAGGTGACAGACCGAGCTCCAGAAGGGAGGTGTTCTTTCAGGCACCCCGCCAAGCCTGCACCCCCAAGGAGAAGGCCGGGCTCCAGACTCCCGACAGTATGCAGCTAGTTTCCTGAGCGTGGAGGACACTGAGAAGCAGGAGTTGGTCAGTAGAGGCGGTCCTTGGAACGCTGAGACCTCCAGGCAGAGGTGCTGGCAATTTCCTCCTCGAAAGTGGACAAGACTAGCCACTAGTCTTGTCACGGCCTCGTGGGCTGAGGCCAGACATCCCTGAAAACCAAGCCCTCAAGTCGCCATGCTGCAGCGTCTACTCATCACCCTGCCCGCAGAGGCCGGCACCTGGGTGAAGTTGCACCACCCCAACAAGGCCAAGGAGGGGGCACCTCTGTGGGAGGATGTGACTAAGTTGTTAGAAAGAGAAGGTGAGAAGAGACACGGTGGGAGGGAGGAAAAGTGTCCCTCTTTGTTGCCAGAAGAAAGGCAGCTGTTGGGGAGACCATGAAGTAAAAGGCCCCTGGAGTTCTTGATGGTGGCCCCTGGTGCTCTTGATGGTGGCCCCTGGCCTGGGTTTTTTCTGAGTGCCTGTGGTGGCCACCTCAACCTAAACCCAGTGGTTCAGTGTTAGCGCTGTGTTACTTCTTTTCATCTTCCCTGAGGGGGTGGGGCAGGAGGACTTGCCTGAATTTCTGAGGAAATGTGAATGAAATAAGAGACATGCCCAGGTACTTGGAGTCTTAAGTCAGAGGTTAAAAGGGAGCAGGGAAATTTCCCAGGTGAGCCGGGAGTGTCTTGTGCTAGAAAGCATGGCCAAGCTCAAAGACTAGTGGCAGGTATGGAAACGATGCTGCAGCCAGCTTCCAGGGGCTTCTACTGCACAGAGAGGGGCAGATTGATGGTAATACCTTGAATAAACAAAATTCCACAAGTTCATGATGAACTTAAATAGGGAGAGCAGGTGCCAAAAAAGTCACTAACACTGGAAGTGATAAAGACACTGATTTCTTACTTTGAAAATTGATTATTAGGGGAATGAATGATGCATTTACTTTCCTTTTAGATCATTTCCAGTTTGAGGAAAGTTCTTTACAGAAAATACCTACTAAAAAGTGAGAATCTTTTACTGTACATGAAATAATTCAAAGGTTCATGGGGAAACTGTACATTCATGTGGCATCTGAGTATCCACCCTGCAGATTACTGGCTAAATGCCAATAAGGTAAGAGCAGACTTTTGCAGAGGTGAGATCTGGTGGTCACTGGCTTAACCACATGCCCCAGTGATGTGCTAATGTGCCATTTTGTACTGCCTGGATGAAGTCATATAAAGCACATGGTTTCACCCTTGAAGTATTCCTGACAAAACTGCTTAACCTGGAAATACAGAAAATACAGGGGCTGGAGAAATAAGATAAACTCCACTGTGGATATAATTCAATAACTCTGATCTCTTAAAAAGTTGATGTCATGAAAAAAGTAAACTGCTATTGTGGAATTAAGAGAAAGAAGAGGTAAGCATTTTGAATATGTTGTCCTTAATTGGCTCCTGATGTGGAAAAAAATCCAGAATCAAAGACAATTTGGGAACAGTTGAGGAAATCTGAAAATGGACTGAATGTTTAGATGGTCCTATGTAATCTCATCAGCTTTCTTAGTTGTGATAAATGATATTATAGTTATGCAAGAGAAGATTGTTTAAAAGTATTTAAGAGAAAGTCTGATGTTTACACTTTGTGGTTCAGAAAAATAGAGGGTCCTCCATAGGTCAAAGCATTGCACTGTGAAGCTAGCTAGCCAAAGCTGTTGCAGCCTGAGTTCAATCCCCAACCAAGGAGCTGACCCACATGGCACAACAGACTTCTCCTGACCCATCCACTGCTCCCTTCAGCAGTATATTTTGTCAATCTGCCTGTTGTGTTCCCTATTCTGTCTTTGGTGAATCCTCTCACCGCCTCTGCACCTCTGGCCTATACCCCATTTCTGTATGCATAAATAAATAAATCTTAAAAAAGAAAAAAAGCAAATAACAGCAGATATTAGGTAGTGGATATATGGGTGCTCATTTTTCATGGGAAAATATAACAAGGATAATAATTTGTGTGCCTTAAATCTAGTTCATATTTTCGATACCTCAGTCAGTGTTTCTTGAATTTCAGCAACCTGGCAGGGTGTTATGATTAAACTTTTAACAGGTTTAGAAAAAAATGAACAAGGTAGCTTCTTATGCTCAGTGAAGAAATAATTGTACAAATAAATATAATAGGAGTCAGCCTGAGATGGATATTAGAGGAGATATTAAAAACTAAGCTTTTGCTTGTACAGGGGACAGGAAGCTTTCTTCTCATGTCTGAGAAGACTTCTCTTAAACTGTTACTCAGTTGTTCACCAAGTAGGACTTGGGAAAAGTGCTAAGGTGGGTGCTATCCAGGTAGCTCAGCGAATGGAGGATGGGATTATGTGGGTGTGTCCAGTGGATGCAGGATGCGTTTCTAGAGGAGATAATGGTTGAGGAAGCAACTTGAAGTCCACAATGAAATTCTTGGCGTTTTCTTTTATCAGTGGGAACCCTTCAAAGTTCTTTGGACAGGAGTGATCTGATAGACGTGTGGTTTTGGATTGACACTGACCAGCACTCATCCTCGGAGCAGCCCACTGCATGTCCTCAGGAAGAAGGCTGTCCTTGCGTGGCCCTAAATGGTCTTTGTGAACGTGCCTGGGGGGTCGCATTCAGTGGGTCTGCAGGTACTATTTCTACTTGGGGCAGTTGAGGAGATGCAAACCCCAGCTCTTTTTCTTCCCCAGCTCTGCTGTCTCAGGCTGCTCGGGAGACCCAGGGAGAAAGTTTAGAGGGTGAAGTGGCCTCTGGACCCCTGACAGTGGAATCCCAGGTGGGTTGGAGTTTTCTGTTTCTCTCTTGAAATTATTAGATTTAAGAAGCTTGGATGATGATTTTCTGTGACTTGACTTACTGAAGTAGATTTTCTTAACCTTTTTGAAAACAGACCTCGCTGGTTGCTTTTCAAAGGTAGTTTCCCCAGAAGTCTCCTTTCTCAGTTGCCTTCTGATATCTAGCAAATCCTCTAGCCATTTATCCAGCAAGTTTAAAAATTATGTTGGGGGTATAATGTATGCGCTAAAAAAGCATATGATGCAGTTTCAGTGTAAACTCACAGATGTCATCTGGGGGAAAGATGGTAAAATGTCCTGTGGGCCTAGCATGCTTCACTGAGCAACTCTGTAAAACATTTGAAACAGCATTTCAAAATGAACAGAACCAGGCTTTCTTATTTTTAGAAATATATACACACTTCATTAATGACTTTTATGAAAGGGTTTTTGGTCATGCTTGGAGAAGAACTGTAGCTGGAAAGGAAAATGAAAAGCTACTAGCTGGCCATGAGAGCAAAACACTAAGTTGACAGAACAAAAAAGAGGAAAACTTTTAAGTGCAGTTTAACAGTACCCGTGAGCAGATCAGAAAACCAGCGGCCCTGCCAACTGGTACAGCCATATGCTCCCCACCCAGAAGCGGAGAGAAATTCAAAATTAGAATGATCAGAGAACACAAATATAGAAAAAACAGTTAGAAAACAGGAGAGCTTTAAAGTGGCATGATAACTAGCTTCCAGAAATCCCATGGCACAGGGTTGAATCCTATGTCTTTAAGCCTTCCTCAACTTTATTTTTCCTCAGTGGTTAAAAATGGTTACTATTATCTGCCTAATGGGGACGGTGTGTATGCTGGAATGGCTCCAGTACCTAACAGTCATCAAAACAGCCTCCATACTTAAGGAATTTGTTATTTTCTTAGGCCTCTGGGTTCTCTTTTCTTTGCCTGTGGAATCCTTTTTTTTTTTCCCCCTGTGGGAATACTTTCTAAAGTAACTATCAGATGGTTATTTAATTTATATAGGTCATATGCAACAGCTCCTGTACTTTAACAGTGTCTGCTTTCATCAAGAGGTAGATAGTCTTTACAAGACAGAATTCCTGCTCTTGCCAGAAACATCCTGTTATATCACACTTTTCTTACTAGCAGAAATAACCAACTAAGCATAGTTTGCCCAGACTGAAATGTTCTCATTTTAACTAATTCTTTCAGCCCAACAGAGGAGTCCATCTTCGCTTGTGGCCTTAACCCCTTTGCAACTGTGCTCTTTCTCCTCAATCTTTATGGTCCTTAATCTAAATTACTACACACTGTCTTGTGACCTTCTTTAATATTTCAGGAGTACTTTGTCTTCAGCCAAGTTGTAAGTTACCAGAAATAACTTACATGCTCTCTAGATTGCTTTGTAAATTTCTTAGAATATCAGCCAAACAGTTTCTAAAAGGGTGTTCAGGAAAACTTGTCTGGAATCTCTTTCACTTGACAAGGTCAAAACAACTTCCCGAACACTGATTGAAAAGGAGCATATTTGATGTTCTAGGACTTACTGACCTTCAAGGACATCTCTGTGGACTTCACCCAGGAGGAGTGGGGGCAACTGGCCCCCGCCCACCGGAATCTGTATCGGGAGGTGATGCTGGAGAACTACGGGAACCTGGTGTCAGTGGGTAAGGACAGGTTCTGGAGCTTTCTGTTGGAAGGCAGGTCTAAGTCAAGTGCTATGCTTAGGCTTTGGGCTTGGGTTAGAGGTTCCTTTTGAACACCACATGATAGTTGCGCTGGTCTTTTCTGGCCTGGTCTTTATGCTATGCTCTTGAGAAGGCCTGAATACCAAGAAACTATCTTTAAATCCTTGGTTTGGCTCTTTGACTTCAGTACATATAGTCTTTTCTTCTCTCTGAGCAGGATATCAGTTTTCCAAACCTGGTGTGATTGCACAGTTGGAGAAAGGAGAAGAACCATGGCTGATTGAAAACACTATTGCAGGAGGTCCAAGTGCAGGTAAGAGAGGAGAGACAGTGTCTCTCCTTAGTTGTGTTTCTACTTCAGGTTGCTCCAGGATGTTGGGAAGGCTGAAGCCATCTGCGTGGGACCGCAAGAAACCTGATTACCACTCTGTCACCCCATCCTGTTCTGATGTTGGTTTCTTTGGCATGAGACGAAGCGATACCTCTGTATTGTGGTTAGCTTTTACTGTTTCACTGACCTGATTTCACTGTTTTCTTGCTTTCTCCAACATTCTAAACCTTACTCTGACCATAATGTCCTTCTCCTATACATTCATGGATCTCTTCGTGTGTTACCCTTCTCATGTCCTTTTATCGTATATTTTACTTTCTCTTAAGATTCCATTTAGATTTTTTCCTTAATCTTATTCTGGATCTCAGCTTCACTTCTGATTCTCTTTTTTAACCAGTGTAATTTAAAATGTTTTTTGAAGGGGAGGGTAATTTATTTTTGAGGAACTTTGAGAACTCACTATATAATTCCTTCTTACCATATCCATGACTTTAACAGTCATTTTCATTTTCTAAGAAAGGTAGTAATGGCAGCTGTTTACCAAGCTGGCCTCTGTCATTCCTGTAGCTGAATTTGCTTCATCTTAAACATGAAAAAAAAGAAACCCATGGGTTAAGAAACTTGTACGGGGTCACTTTGCTACTAGTCACTAGAGTCAGTACTGCATTCTAATTATTCTGATGGCAGAATTTGTATTCTTACGGGGTTATTTATGCAACAGCATTGGCTTATACAGGCTTTGTCTCCTTCTTGATATCCCTTTCTTCTCCAGCTACTTTAATAATTTTTGTCTCCTCTATCTCGTTTCTTTTTCATTGCTTCTCTTTAATGCAATGTCCTCTTTAATGCAAATATATTATTTCCACCTTTGTTAGGACTTGCTAAACAACTGTAGCAAATTTCTAGAATTTGACTCAAAATAGAAACTTCTTACTCATATACTGGTCTAGGGGAATTTCATGGCCTAAAGGATAGTTATTTTCTATCTTGTAACGCAGGGACTGAGATTCCTCCCACATGGTGCTCTCACTAGTTTCTAGGACCTCCGTCATCTAAATTTAGCCAAAAATAGAAAAAGAGCACATTTGTGAGTATTTATGGGCCATCCTTTTCACACTTGTTCATTAAATGAGGGAGTCCCTTGTCTTCTCATTCAATCATGTTGAAGGAAGATTAGAAAACATACTGTTGTTAAAATTGTGTGTTCCAAAATGAGTAGAACAGATTTCAAGGAACAGCCAGCAGTATCTCCCATAACCCCTGAAGGGCTTTTGTCTTTTCTTATTTAAGGTTTTATTGATTTATGCATATAAGAACTGGATACAGGCCAGAGGTGCATGGTGGTAAGAGGATCACCAGAGACAGAGTGGGGAGCAGAACAGGCAGATTGACTGAAACACACTGCTGAGGGGAGCAGTGGGGGAGACAGGAGGGGGCAGCTGCACCATGAGGTCAGCTTCCTGGCTGGGGATGGAACTTAGGCCACAGGGGTGGGTAAGTGTGATTGCACTGAGACTTAACCCTACATTACCAGACAGGCCCCTGGACCTCTGTTTTTTTACATTGTGGTTCTGTCTTTACAAACTCCCACATATGCATCCCATAATTTCAGCTACCCAGTTGACACCTATATTGTCCATATATGTCTGTCTTACATATCATAGGAACTCTCCTCTTACGTTTAGGATATTTTTACACAGATAGGTTGTTATCACTTCAAACCCAGTACTTCCTGAACAGAAGCCGTCTTCTAAATTTTGTTCTGGCCTTTTAGTCTCTCTAAGATAGAAATCAGGGTATCAGCAAGAATGTGTTGTGGTTTTTTTCCCTCAATTTTTCACTTTCTTTTTTGGTATTTTCTGTTAGAACCATTCAACTCTTTATATCTGTTGATACAGTGCTAAGCCAAGTTCCCATCATCTCATGACTATTACTGTAATTTTCAATTGCATTTATTGACGTCTTATTTTCTCTTTCCAAATGCTTTTGAAGGTTACAGATTTGGCAACTTGGTATGTGAAATTTATCTTGTTCTTATCCTAAAAAGAAAAGTTAATCAACTTCATATTCTAAACATTTCTGCTTGCTTTTTTGTGTTCATTCCAAAATTTATCCAACCACTATTGAGCACTACTGAGTGTTATTACTAAAGTGAGGTTAGAAATCCTAGGGAATAAGATTTTACTGTGATGGGAAATATTGGCACTTTAGGATGGGAGGGTCCAGAATGGATGGATAGGAACAGAAAAAAATGAAAATCAGGAAAATTCTCTCATCCACAGATGTGCCATGTATAATTTAGATAATGTGTAAATCTAGATAATTTACACAGCCTCTATCCTTTAAGATTTTACAATATAGTTAATAGTTTGTCACAAATTAAAAAACCATATTCCACCTTATTCAGAGGGAAAAATTATGAAGAAAGATAAAAATGTGAGGCACTTGCAGGGAAACCCACATTCACTGAAAGTACACATACACATAACTCAATATTCCTCTTTAGTAAATCCTCCGAAGTACTGATAGGTGTGAACTAAATTGATATGTAATGACGAGGTAAAAAACCTATCTGTTTTCAGCATAATTTGAATAAATTCAAATTATGAAATGTCCATAAATGGGATCTAATGCAGCTATTAAAGAATGAAGTAAATCTAAAGGTGTAGACACAAAAGGGGACCCAAAAGATACAATGGAGTTAACACAGTAGATACAGAAATACCTATGTACACACCACAGTCCCTTTTTTAGGTATGAATGTTTGTTATTATATAAATGCAGGTAAGTAGACAGACAGACTGAATGGATGCCTTCCAAAGTATTAGTGCTATGGGGAATATGGATGAAATAAAGAGAGCTTGTCTCTTTTTGTGAATTCGTTATGATTTAGTGGTTAATAGGTTTTTGAGATAAATATTTCAAAAAAAATTTTTTAAGATTTATTTATTTATGCTTACAGAACAAGCCAGAGTTGTGGAGGGTGGGGTGGGATGGGGGGAGAGGATTCACCAGAATCAGAGTGGGGAATGGAACGGGGAGATCCACTGAAATACACTGCTGAGGGGAGCAGCAGGCGGATCAGAAGAGGTCTGCCATTCCATGTGGGTCAGCTCCCTGGCCAGGAATCACACTTGTGCTGCAATGGCTCTGGAGAGCTTTATAATGTAGTGCTTTAACCTGTTGCACCACCAGGGAGAGCCTGGTTTTGTGATAGAAATATTGGTTTGAGGCGATACAGTATTAGAATCTTGTATTCCTTAATGTTACAGCTTGCTATTGTCTTTATAACCCACGCTCACTTCATAGTCTATTTATTCTTGAAATTTACTTAGATGAGCTTCGCCCAATTTCTCAGTCACTTCATATACTTTTAACATCTTCTTTCTTTTGACCACTTCTTCATTTCCTTTTATATCAGCTAAACCTCAAGATCACCTTTAATGACAGTCCAGGTCTCCTGTACCTAGTACATGTTGTTTACCCACTTCTGTTCATACTAATGCCATTTCTTTTTTAAGGCAAATATATATATATATATATATATATTTTTTTTTTTTTTCAGAATTGGGGGACAAAACAGAAACCAAAGAATCAACCATAAAGAATGGCATTTCTTGGGAAGAATTACACCATGGCCTGATAATGGAAAGGCCCACAAGAGGAAACACCTTCAGTTCCACATTGGAAAGAATTTCCAAACATGACATCTTAGAAAATCACCAGAATAACCAAGGCATGGGTGAAGGGCATGTCTCCTTGAACCACAAGAAAATGCCCACTCAGGAAAGTAGCCTAGAATCTAACAGATTTGAGAAAAGTATTAATATGAGCTCAAAAGTTGTTCCAGAGCCAGTAGGGTCTTCAAGAAAAAGAGACCACAAATATGCCATACCTGGGAAGAATGGTAGATACAATCTAGATATGATTAATTGTTCAAGGCGTTACACAAGAATGAAAACCTTTGAATGTAATATTTGTGAAAAAATATTCAAACAACTCATTCACCTTACAGAACATATGAGAATTCATACTGGAGAGAAACCTTTCAGATGTAAAGAATGTGGAAAAGCCTTTAGCCAAAGTTCATCACTTATTCCACATCAAAGAATCCATACTGGTGAGAAACCCTATGAATGTAAGGAATGTGGGAAAACCTTCAGACATCCATCATCTCTAACTCAACATGTTAGAATTCATACTGGTGAGAAGCCCTATGAATGTGGTGTATGTGAGAAGGCATTCAGCCAGAGCATTGGGTTGATCCAGCACTTGAGAACTCATGTTAGAGAGAAACCTTTTACATGCAAAGACTGTGGGAAAGCTTTTTTCCAGATTAGACACCTTCGGCAACATGAAATTATTCATTCTGGTTTGAAACCCTACATTTGTAATGTGTGCAGTAAAACCTTTAGCCATAGCACGTACCTAACTCAACACCAGAGGACTCATACTGGGGAAAGACCTTATAAATGTAAGGAATGTGGGAAAGCCTTTAGCCAGAGAATACATCTTTCTATCCACCAGCGAGTCCACACTGGAGTGAAACCTTATGAATGTGGTCATTGTGGGAAATCTTTTAGGCATGATTCATCCTTCGCTAAACATCAGAGAATTCATACTGGAGAAAAACCTTATGATTGTAATGAATGTGGAAAAGCCTTCAGCTGTAGTTCATCACTTATTAGACATTGCAAGACACACTTAAGAAATACCTTCAGCAATGACCCATAAACTGTGTTCAAACAGCAAGAAGTCCGCATCTTTAAGCAAAAGCCTCTCTGTTTTTTTTGACTTAGATTTCAAGGGTCAGTAATTTTTTAATGGTTTGATCAAATGTTAAAACTTTTACCATATTTTAAAAGAAAGGATATTTTGGTACTTAAAAATAGTGAAAGGATATTACCAAAAGATAGCTCTTTACTTTGAATTAAGTCAGCTGTTTGAAAAATCTCCTAAATTTGTCTTTATTTTTCTCATTTCACTGAGGGCCAATGAGAACTTCATCATGACAGGTCGTGATATAACGATTAACTAATACATCAGAATAAAATTTAATATTTTACTATAGCCTTCCTATGGCTAGAAGAGTTAATAAAATATCCCTTGGCTCATTTCTCAGAAATATGTTAAAGGGAGATTTCAAAAACTGCTTATTATACATAAGATACTTATTTTTTATGGCTTCCTGTAGGGAAGAATTAGCAACTTTCTTCTATAAAGGGCCAGACAATAAATATATTAAGTGTTATCTATGATATGTTCTCAGTCAGAACGCTTCCATTTTAGGGCAGAAATGTCCAGACAATACATAAATCAGAGCCTCTCAGCCTTGGCACTGCTGATATTTTGAGCTGATACTTAATGAGTGAGCAAGCTGCTCCGTGCATAGTAGGGTGTTTCAGAGCATCCCTTGCAACAGAACACCAGTAGTAACTCCAGCCATCGGTGACAACCAGAAATGTCTCTAGACATGCTCATATATCCCCTACTTGGCAGTATTTGCTTTAGTTGAGAACCACTGACATAAACAAATGGATGTAGCTATGTTCCTATAAACTTCATTTAAATGCAGGTGTTGGATTACATTTAACCTAAGGGCTATCATTGCCAATTTACAGAATACTTAAAATGGTTAATAATGGCAATAGAATATCACTTTTGTTACTGGTATGTTTTTAAGTAGTCTTATTTCCTTATCAATTATTTGGTATTTTGTTGCAAGAATTTAAAACACTATATGCTGTTCTGGAAAACTAGGCATATTTTGTGGATATATTTATATAAACGTCAGTCCCTAATGCTTTTTATGTTTATAAATACTTTTGGCTATAGATCTAAAAGTTCAGCACTTTTAAAAGATAACCTCAATGCTAATATGTTACCTAAAAATTAGTCCATAATTTCTTAATAAATATTGGTGGCTCTCATATTGATTACTTTTAAATTATCTTTGCCAAGCATACAGTTATAGGTTAGAAAATGTGGTTTATGTTGAGTAGAAGGCTTTTTAAGATAATCCCAGACGGCACACTAGAGCCTTACCAAAGAGGACCAAGAAGAAGGTGACTACAGAAGCCATATTGAGGCAGGGAAATATGAGAAGAAGTCAGAATAGACCTTAGCACTTCACTGGATGTCCTCCATCCTTCCAGGCATAACTGGAGGTAGGCCAAGTTTAATGGCTTACTCTCATGTGCAGAACAAAAAGTTGAATTGTCTGGTCATTGTGCAGTCTATCAAAAGTAAAGCTGTAAATTCATTTGTGTGTATCATTGTCATCTGGATTTTCCCCTTATTATTTCCTTAAAAAAAAAAACACAAACTGGTCTCACACTTTTAAGTTCTTGTATGACTTTGATGGGCAGAAAGACCAGGGGTGTATACACTTGTGTATACATTCTATGCCTTCGATTTTCCATGAACTTGGGTTTCTCTGATTGATTTTTTTTAACCGTTTAATTTACTTTCTTACATTTTTGCTTATTTTTAGACAGCACTTGGAGTTTTCCCCTCGGGTGTAATCCCCATAGTTCTCCCACCACCATAGCCCCCGTGCTCCTTCATCACAGTCCCTTGTGCTCTACCCTGTTTTGACTCCTCTCCTTCCCTCTCCCCTGCGTATACTTCAGATCAGCTAGAAACATTTACTAAGTTTTTGTTTGGTTTCTCTATGTTCTTCATCTAAGTGAAACCATCTCTAACTTATTCTTCTAGCAGAAGGCATAACTATCCTTTTTTTACGAACAACCCCTGCCTTAGTGATCCTACATGGTCTGTGGCTTAAAAATGCTGTCTGTATGTAACTGCCATATCTGCATCTCCAGCTGACTTGCATCCTGACTCCCAGCCATATTCCTGCACTAGCTGTTCCTTCAGATTTCCTACACCCTTATCTTCTGATCTTTGTTCACTTTACTTTGCTTTTCCACTGAAGCCTGTGAACAGTGCTAGTTAGTACTGTAACTGTCCCTTACCCTCTCACTCTAACATTCTGAGCCCCTTAATTTACTGTACTTTTTCCATTTATCACCTAACCTACTAGATACTTTACATATTTATTATGCTTATTATTTTCCCCCCACGAGTATGTAAACTCCATGAAGGCAGGGATCATTTTGTCTTCTGATGTATCACAAGTGCCTAGAACAGTGCCTGGAATACAGTGGGGACTCAATAAACATTTGTTGAACTGTTTTGGTTTGAACTGAATTGAATTATGTTTCCATGATGAAAACAGAGAAAGGTTATCCCTATACTTACTTAGATTTCATAAATGGGAAAATCTGTCTGCTTTTTTTTTTTTCAATCTTTGGAAATAGACCAGAATGTATAGGCATTTAAGAACTATGAATCATAACACATACTTTTAAGATAGAAGACCTAATTTTAAATTAATTTGCTACAAGTAAAGTTAAATGTGGTTGATTAACAATAATTTTATCTTTGTTTTGTAGAGGTAAATTTATTTTTAAAATTAGGGGAGAACAAAACAACACAGGGGAGAATAGGCAGCATATTGGAAATGTCAACACATTTTGGGCAGTGAAAAAAATAAAGTGGCTAATAATTGAGCAGACACTACACCAGAGTATACCCATCAGAGAAGGTCTTGGGAAAGTTGAAGCTTTGAGGACAGCTGGGCATCAGGAAGATCAGGGACTGAAAACTCAGATTGGTTGAAATTGTGTAGTTCAATATTAAGATATCTACACATTCCTCCCACTCATGCCTTTCTCTGTTCCATCACCACCTCCCCTCACCCCAAAGGAAACTAGAGGTTTATTATCTGAGAAGGACCAGAGTTGTTCTGGAAGCAATATCACACACAGTAGAGACTAGGAGTAAGAAATGGAGGTAAATGGAAACTCATGAAGGGTAGGAAATAACTTCACTAATTATAAAATTTTTTCAACTGTGAAGGAATGTTTAGATTTAGTCACATGTTTGCTGTGTTGTTCTTTCCTTTTCCACATCACTTTTTTTTTCCTGAAATAATTTTCTTTCTACCTGAAGTTCAATCTTCAGAATTTCCTCGCCTGCAGTCAGCTGGTGGCAAACTAAATTTTTGTTTGCTTGAAAATATCTTTATTTTCTGTTACGCTTAACGGATTTTTAAAAATTTGCATTTTCTATGAAAACTTGAGTGTAGGATTAAGACCTACAATTACAATGTTTTCATCCAGAGAGGATTTACATTTGCTTTTTTGCCATGCATTTGCTGGCATCACAATCAAAGACCAACCACCTTAACCAAGATCAAGACTTGACCTCAGTCCTTAAATTCTTCTAAAGCACTCCACTTCCAATGCATCTACATCTTGGGGTTGTAGTCCTTGGGGTCCCAGTTATTGTTTGGAGGCCTTCTATTTCACTCCCTAACATTGTGTTGTATTCATTTTTTCTTCTTTGAGGTGCAAAAGGAAGATCGTTTCAAGTTAGTGACTGGCAAGGGGGCAGACTTATCTTCCAAGTTGAGTTACCTTCATACTTTTAAAAGGTCTGGTAATTTCCTACTATCTTATCTTAGACACCTTATTACAGGCTGAATTGCAACTCCCTGTACCCTCCACCCCAAGCAGCCCCCAACCCCCTGCAAATAAATGTCAAACCCCAGACCCCCAGTATCTCAGTATGTGTCTGTATTTAATCACATCTTTAAGGCTAATCACTTTTAAGATGTGGCTAAGTTAAACTCAGGCATTAGAATATGCTCTATTCCAATATGACAGATGAAGAAATTTGCACACACAGAAACCAGGAGCATGCAATTACAGAGAAAAGACTAAGCCATAGAGAGAAGGCAGCCACTTGCCAGTCAAGAAGAAAGACTTCAGGACCAGTCCCCTTGATACCTGAATACTGGGTTTTTAGCCTTCACAACTGTGAGACCAAAAATTTCTTCTAAGTCACCCAGTTCATGGCATTTTGTTATAACAGCCCTAGCAAGCTCATACACGACTTTGAGAACATTGACAATAATGACTTTAATTTTTAAAGTGTTATTGTCTTCCAAGTTGACCAATACCCCAATCCGCTATTATCAGAAAGGGGAACGTCATCCTCTCTCCCTGTCTTCACAGACTTCTTCCTTTCTCCTCAAAGCCATTACTATCATCTGAGGTGTGTCCTATTTATTTTTCTACTTATCACTGTCCATTTAATTTCACCGAAATTAAAAAAAAAATGCAGGACTGCGCTTTGGGTAACTGCTGTATCCTCAAGCGTCTGTCTCAGCGGGCGGCAGATGGTGGGCACTAAGCTGTGATGCCTGAATGAAAAACAGAAAAGCCTTTCTCGCCGGAAGCGCCGGCTCGCCACGTGGCCTCTGGGGCCGCCGTCAAGAAACGCGGGTGGGGTGCTGGGTGGTCGCTGTCCGGGTGTGGGTGGGGGGTGGCAGATCCAGGGGAGCAGGGCCGCGACTTCCGGGCTCCGGGTTTTCGGGTGCACCGGGCTTCCCCCAGAGGACGCGCCCCGCGGCCGCCCCTCGTGGGCGGAGCCGGCACCGGGCGT